AAACACCGTCGGGTGTTTACACGCTGCTCGGCAGCTCGGCAGCTTGGAGCTCTCCCTCCTCTTTTTCTGCATCGTTGAGATCCTCGCTCGACGAGCTTTGGGGGGGGTTGCATTCCAACCAAGTCGTGCCGACTTAAAATTGAATTCGGCATTCAATGCCACATTCACTGCTTCTTCAAAAGAAGACGGATGTACACGGAAGACATCCATTCTGGTCACGCCAGTGCGAAGGCCCTCCACGAAGACAGTCACTGTGACCGCCTTGGAGAGATGTTCTGCTACCATCCCGGCAATGAGAGCTCTCAACGCTTGGACAAGGTCCACCAACTCCTTCTTGCCCTATCGGGCAGCAAGGAAACGCGATCTCACGCAATATGCCTGATTAGGCGGCGAGAACACTCGCAGAAGCTGACACTTCAGCTCCTTCCAAGAGGGGAACGCCGCATCAACCGAACACTACACGTTAGTGCCCATTCTCGCGGTAGGCCGCCGAGCATAGAGATAGCCAGCGCCTCGCGCTGTTGCCCGTTCCGGAGCATGGCGAGTGTCATAGCCATATCGGCCTATCTCACCCAGAGCAGGTGATTCTCCCGATCCTTACCCTTAAAGATCATAACGCCCACCATTAGCGGCCTGGGTCGATATGAGTCATCCGTCGTCGATAGTGGCGTCACAGACGCAGTCGACGCCGACAGCTTATGCTGTCGGCGCTCTAGCAGAGTCTTTTCATAGCTCAGAAACGCCTCAAGGCGCGCGTTTATCGCTTCGGTCCATGCGAACAAGGAGGGATAAGCAAGGACATCGGCTTAAGAAGCCCATGCGAACAAGGAGGGACAAGCAAGGACATCGGCTTAAGAAGCCCGTTCTGTATGCCCTGGGGCAAATAGGTGTATTGCTCTATCCTCACAGAGGATCAGTCGTAACGACTAAGGCTAAGATTGACTAATAGTGCTACCAAGTGTAGCGGGCTTTCGTAGACTTTGCTAAGAGGAAGCTAAGCCCAGGCCAATGACCTTACGTTCTTTCCAAGTATCAGTACAAGTGTAGCTGATCGCAATTCGCTACCTCCAATGTACTTAAGAACCTTGACCAAGGCAATGGCGCTCTTTCGTCCAAAATTGAAACTGTATATTATTATTTATATGCGGCAGAGCCGCCTATATCTGAGACCTAAGGTTTCCTGATTAATAGAGTAATACCTTATTTATATAGTAAAACGCGTAACTACTGGCAGTCCTGCCACGTAGTGGCTTCTTGATACGGTGAAGCTACACCGTTGTGTGATTACACCAACTTGTGTAATCTACACCTTTGTACGGTCACACCATCTTGTTTGACCCGCCCTTTCATATGTAACCCCGTTACACTCTGGGTACGTGTAATCCCAAGGCCGCACGGTCTTACCACTCTTTATATGCTAAAGCTTTTCTAAGGCTGGAGCATCCAAAATGTTGACGATCACCTCCTTCTGAACTTTGCATACGATATGCGGAAAAGTGGAAGTTACTCACACACAAGATTGTTGACGATGTTCATTTAAGAGGCAGAAATCCAAAATAGCTCGCAAAGCCATTTTTCGATGTAGTTGAGTCACAAGAGATCGTATTAATGGCTGCGGTGCCATATTCATGTCTAAATCCCACATTATATATGTACAGACGTCATACTAGAATGATGCTTAAATTTGCAGAATATGATCGCGATGTCGGCATAAAAGCAGACTCTCGCCATCTTCTCTTATATTTTTAGTGCCATCTCATCACCATGAAGCTACTCATACAGCAAACGTTCTAGTCTTAAAATTAATACAAGCCCGAGACCCACTAGTTTGTGGGAATTTTGATGCAGTTCGCAACTATGTCTCCCTTAGAATGTTTGAATACATACTGAGACATAAGCAGCAAAGACACCAAGGCAACATCTTGCCGACTTGGAACCACAAAGAAACAGAAATTGTTGAAGTGAAAAAAATTGTTACAATCCACCATATAATTCGTAAGTCACTATCCATTCTGTTTGGAGTGGATAATTCCTAGCTCATCGAGAAAAGCCAGCCGAGGACGACAAGCCATGGTGTGAAATTGTGAGATCTTTTATTCTTGTTGGCACCTTGACCGTCTATAACAGTTATGTGGTGTGGTCGAAACTGCATTAGTCCTTTTCAGATGCGCTTTTGAGATGTGCAATTGAATCAAAAGGTTGCTTTGTCACAGTGATGGTTGAGATATTGCTTCGTCTTTGAAGGAATGCTTCGCAGCCGTAGACTAAAAGAGTTGATGATATGGCTCTAATAAGTATACGTATGCCACAGAATGAGTACGCTCTGTACTACTGTGTACGTACATATTATTTATATCAGCAGTTAGCAGTTGTGCTTCGCTTAAATTACATAATGTCCACAGCGCGGGGGTAGCAAGTACTGGTATTGATGTCTTCGAAAAGAGGCGTTCTGTGGGATCTGTAAACAAAATACATTTACTGCTAGCCTAAAATGAAATAACTCACGATAACGTCTATTCTATGTTCTTTATTTGTTGCTGGCCCATTGCACGCGTGGGACCCAATGTCCAGAAACCTACAGAAGGCCTACCCCAGGCGTCGGCAAAAGCAAAGTTGAATCTCACCGTGAGGTTGCTAACGTTGAGCGTCGGCCTTCTAATGGCGAGAACGTGAAATTTATATCGTTTTATGTGAAAAGTTGAGATTACCTTGAATTCGGCAACACTTTAAACGGAGCAACCGCGTAGCGATTGCCATCTTCGAAAAAAAAGACCGCTGCAAAATGGAAACATACGTGCAGTACCCCTGCGGAAGAGGCGTTATCATCATGGGAACATTTGAAGCGATATTCTCATCAGCAGGTGTATCGGGTGTAGTATAAAATTGGTGTTCGTTCGAAAAGGGAGGGGAAACTTGCGGACAGGGTCCGGGAGTTCGCAGAGTCTTCATGCCGCTATGACAAAGAAATCCATTCTAGAGGCAGTGTAGCTGGCCAATTTCATAAAGGGTGCCGGACATATGCCGCTCTCACCACAAACTTTCCATTCACTCAGCCTTGATCGAAGAAGCGATGGGTAAAGCATTGTTTGATGAGTAAATTTAGTGCAGCGAGGTCAAATTTGGGGTACCAGAAGTGAAGGCATTATTAGCACCAGCGGCAATCGGTCTCACCCATGCCTAGGACTGAAAGAAAATTTTATGGATACCGAGAAGCTTTGCGGTACTTGCAAAGCTTCTATCACTGGTCGTATTAACAATCTGCACTGTGCATGATCCCTGTTATCTCTGCGAAGAGGAACGAAGATTGACCCACGGAATTCGGGAGAAAACGTCGAGTCCCATTAGGCGTAGGGCGGCGTAATGAATGCTACAAACCTTGTGAGGTCGTGCAAAATCAGAGCCAGATTTGGGAAATTGACTCTCTCTTAGAGTTGGAGTTCATAGCCTAGGATTATCAGATGCTAAAATCAATGTCCTAGAATTTGTAAAGCCATTAAAGTCTTGATAGATCTAGGAGCTTCAAGTAATAACGTACGACGCGCGGCTGTTAGAACCTGTAGACAATTTGCGGAGGCATTGATGATACCGACACGGATTCTATCTACGTGTATCTTGCGGCGGGGATACTAGCAAATCTGGCAAAAGGCTAAGCCTTCAAACTAGGTTGGGAACTCAGATAGCTAAGAACATTGTCTCATCCTGAGCCAGGATTCGACATATGACCGTCTATCAGGTATGGCGTCAATGAAATGCCGCAAACCATGATTGACGGGAAGTCAAAGCGGTTGCATTTATGACTTGGTGGAAATTTGGCAAGTTCTGAAATTATATATGCCAGGAAGCAGAAGCGCTTTGACTCGGGCACGAAGCTGTAAAAACTTCGGAGCAGGAAATGAGAAAGTTCAATTTTTTCGACAAAGATATATTCAAGGGTTTGAATCAGGGCCTAGAGAGCAGAAGCAGCAGTGAGCCACAGGCTAGAATTAGACCAAAAAAAGCGATCGTATAATGATCTTTAGTGAGTATATTTGTTGAGACGGGAAGGAACGAAATTATCTCGTGTGTGTTTTAGAGGCACGTTTTATCACAGATGTAAGCAAATGTCTCCTATGCTAGAGTCAGCGGAGAGTTGAAGCGACTGAATGTTGTGGAGTCCTATGTCAAAACGGTGGAGTTGACGAGAAACTGTAAGTTGCAAGTGTACGGTCACAATCATAAGCCAAAAGAATTCTATCTGATCCTTATCGTGAACGATCTTGCTTGCAAGCATACCTCTTTGCCGAGAGCAAGGTGCAGCGCACTGTGAAGCTTCTCGGCAGCCCAAAGAGCTCTCTCTTTCTTTCAAGTATGGCTGAGGTCCATCGCCGCTAGTGCCCAGAGAGCTTAACTTACGGTACCCGATCCTGCCCTTGCGGTACGGAAGTTGAAGTGAGCATATGATGCTATATTTTCGGCTTCGTTGACCGAAGGTGGGTGGATGCGCGAGGTCGTCTCGATGCAAGTCCACCGCGATGAGAGTTACCGACCCCTGTACATAATTCGCAGATTTTGCCCTTTTATGTAAAAACATCGAGCGCGTTCAATACGTCTGGGTATATGTCGTGTCGAGTCTTATCATGTTGAAAGACCTCTTCGACAAAGAGGAGGCATCATTATATTATTCGCGCAGCTTCCTTGCTTGATGATCGCAAGCGCGACGTCCTGTTACAACATCTGGAGCACGGCAGAATTTGTCGCAACTTTCCTAATTACAAAAAAGAGACTTCCCCGTTCCTAGTTTCAAAAGACTACCAGCAGCCGCACGGTGGATGCTATCTTTTTCCCCATCCATGCTTCCGGGTGTGTTTTACCAGCACAATCTTATCAGTGCTGAACGCCTCCAGGTTAGTGATCACCGCATTTGGCTACCAGTTACCTGACTACTTGGGGGCCAACAGTAGACATATGCTTTCCAAGCATTTCTAATCTTCTTGAGGACAGGTAATAAGACATCTCGTGTCTTATTTCGACTCGATCCTGTAATGGACTTTGAGTGCTGCCAAGTTCAACATGTCACCACAGAGCTTGCACAGAGTAAGTCTTTTCATACTAACTATACATTTTGTCTTTTCTTGAATTCTTATCTTTGACAAGTGCCTTTGCTATTGAGCTTATGGCTTGACATGAGGCTAACAGCCAGCATTTACTCCGCATCTTGCCTTGACGGAAAGCTATCATCTCCATTATGGTATTGCTGGATACTCATAATTATATGAAGTTGTGATTCGAACAGTTGCACAAAATTCAGCTATGCAAAGTGGCAAATGTTGTGTTTAGCCTACAGTGCTGGCCAAAAATATGTAGCCATGACTATTTCTCAAATTTTTACGTCAATT